CTGAGTTGCTTCCATTAGATGTTGAAAAGTTATCCTCTTCACTGGAGGAGAGTGCGTTATGCTAGCCTAGGAGCTTAGTTTATTCACTTTTGAGAAGGAGGTTATAGTGTCCTATTCTTGATCCGGTAACTCGGACAATAGGAAATAATTTAAAAGGAAATTAGGGGCAAGGTCAAATTCAGGACATGCTCCACAGCTCAGTGGTTAGGAAATTCTCCCAAGAGAATTTCAGAGAAGTCCTGAGAAGATAATTAGAGAAACTCTGAAAATATATCTCTTCTTGTATCTGTATTAGATGGAGAGAATTGTAAATGTGATTGTTATACTTAGGCTGTAGTCTTCAATAGTAATAGAGAATTGCTGTTAACCCCTTGGTCGGATACTAGCTAACAGTTTGTTGTTAATTGTTTTCTTCACAGACCTATGTAGCCAACATTCTTATTGCAGTGAATCCGTATTTTGATATACCTAAGTTTTATTCTTCAGATACTATTAAGAAGTACCAGGGTAGATCACTTGGAACATTGCCACCACATGTTTTTGCTATTGGTATGTATTGAGCCTGTATTTATCGTTTACAAAACAAACATCAAATACTTTGCAGTTAACAGTAGTTAATTCGCTTTAAAGTATTGTAACTAAAAACATTAATTACTAAAACTGCAGATCTTCTCATCCTTGATATGCGGTTTGAAGAACTTGGAAACATGATTATTCTGCACCTCCAGTGTTTTATGTCTAAGGAGTTTAAATATAATTTGCAACCATTAAAGAAAAATTAAAAAATAATTCAAGTTTTGCAAGTGAAGAATGAAATAATTATGATTGGCACTGTCTTTCAGTGTAGTGATTTCCTTTACTTTTTATTATATTGCCAAAGCACATGTACTGTTTCTTTTTATATGCTTTTGTTATAGGCAGAAAGTGCATTTAAATGTTATTAATGGAATAGACCTGATTTCAGTCAGTTTCTTAAGAAAAAAAAGATTTGGAAACTACAAATCAGCATTTGATTTGTTAAAAGGCTTCTCACTGTGTTGCATTTTGTTTTGTAATCAAAAGTATAAATAGCTGGGGTTTTAGTACGTGTCGCATAACAAGAAACCCATGTTTTTCTAAGTTTCCTTGTCTTGTTACGGAGTTTTTCTTTAAAAGACATACTAAAGTAAGACTGGTTACTGTTTTGTATATACATTGAATTCAAGAGATTTAGGTCTAGGTGGTTGTTTTTGTTTTATTTCATCCTGGATATAGTTGAGTAGGTCTTTGTTTTCAAAGACTTTAAGCTCTTACACTTCAGCATTGGAGGGTGAGCAGCTATAATATAAATTAAAGGGAAACAGACTTTAATTAAAGTTGTAATGCACTGAATTGTAAAGATTTACTTTTTATTCCTGAAAAATTTACATTTAAATTTTTGTGTTGTAGCTTAGCTTTGTGATTGCGGTTCTCCTGAATATTAATTTTTATCATGTTTGATGTGTTCTTTTTAAGCTGATAAAGCATTCCGTGACATGAAAGTACTCAAGATGAGTCAGTCCATCATAGTCTCTGGAGAATCGGGAGCTGGCAAGACAGAAAACACTAAATTTGTTTTGAGGTTTGTGCTTTTGGACCAAAGTTATTCTGTCAATCTTTTGTGTTGATGCATATGGTTGACATACAGACAGAGCAAATCGTAACGTGATCAGTAGGTTTAAGACATAATTCAGTAAGACATATATGTGCTTCTACGTATGCTTTAATACAAGAAATTCATTGGGTTAAACTTAAATGCTGACATGATAATGTACAGAAATGGCTACGTAGTCACAGAAACCTAAAGTCAGTTGCAGTGACATCATGTAGTTATTATGGTTTATGATGCAGTCATTTTGGTATTGCACATCTGGTATTGTGATAGATAAAAAGGTAACTAGGCATTTTAACTGTATCTTGCGAGACACTGTTGGCTTTGCCATAAATGTGCATTTCTCTATTTTCCATATCTTAGGTTTTTTGGTTTTCTTGAGTATCCAGGGTTTTTAACTCTTGATTTTGAGATGACTGCAGGGGTTCTGTAATATATTTTACTCTAGTTTACTGAATAAGATCGAATAATGGGATTTATTTATTTATTCATGTTTATGTATGACCAATGCTAAATCAAGCATATAAAACTACATGGAGGCCATATTGCTGATATATATCAGCCTTGTGAACTTTTCTATGATTTTTAATATTTCTGACCATATTTGCATAATACTTTAACTGCTTTATATCACTCTGGAACACTGTAACTGGAGAGCGTTGCTCCATTAAATTCACTGATATCAAAGGTGGCCTGATTATCCAGGGAAGCACAGTGCAGGCAGTGTGAATACACTCCCTTCCCCTCCTTGTCCTTGTTTCCTGTATAAATCTTTAATTCCCTTTTCCCTGACATCATGTATTCTCTAGTATTTAGGTACAGTAGCTGTATTATCTTCCACATCTCACGAAGAATTGCCACGACTGGCTGTCTGTCCTTCATGCTGCTCTTCTCTGCCCCCGTGCAACTTTTAATAGATAGCTGCAAGAATTACTCCAGGGTGCTGTCATGATTTTTACAGGAGATATCCTAACTTTGGTCCTGCGAAGAGTAAAAAAAGGATGGCAGGCACTGAGAGAATATCTCCTGAGGAATGCTCTAAAAGGAGGTTATTCTTCTGCTTCTTGGCAAAGGAAGTTCTGATTGCACAGAATATCATTGCTGTTGCTTCTCCCCACCACCTGCCCCCATAGAGTCTGTGTACAAAATGTTATTGAGTTTTAAAAGGAGGAAGGTTTTTCCCTTGTGCGATCAGAAAGCAAAAGCTGCTAATACAGGTCTGTTAGTGCTCCTAAAGTTATTTTGGAAGGCACCATTTTCAAGAACTGTTTTTAACTCATGCCCTGAACATAGGAATAAAATTGTAAAAAAAAGGTGCAACTTTGGAGCAAGTACATTGTGGATTTATTTTCAAATTCTTTTGTCAGTTGCTAAATTGAATCTTACCTTAATTATGCACCTGCAATTTCTTATCTCACCATCTCCGTGTGGGATTTTTATTAACACTAACACAATTTTTTATAACACTAAGGTAACATGACACACGAAAGATACTGATATTTTTATCTTACTTTACAGGTATTTGACAGAATCCTATGGTTCTGGCCAAGATATTGATGATAGAATTGTAGAAGGTACTGAATTTTCTTTCATTGAATTAAAGGTTCCAATATGTTAATTTTTTTTCAAATTTGAAATGTCAATCAACAGCAACTAAATAAAAGCTGGGATAGAAAGTCGGACTTCTTAGGGCATAATTTACTGGTAGTTTACCTTGATACTAAATTCTGAAAACGTATTTTTTATTTGTGATTCACTTTAGTATAGTGTCATGCAGTTCTTGATATAAGTGTGTGTTTGAGTTGAACTGCACACAGATATGTACTGAAGATTGGAGTTTAAGCTGTATGAACTCGGCAAGAACAAGATTATGTTCTCATTACTATCTCTTAGTACCAGAGAAGAGTAACTACTCCTCCTCATCATGAAGTTCTCAAAGTCAGATAAAGCAGGGAAGTTCTTTTCAGTTATGGTTATGGGTCATTCTTCTGTGACATCTTTTTTGTCAGAAAACACATAATTCGGATTAACGCTTTCATTGTGTCTATCTTTATAGTAGACTCCCAAACAAGGTCAGAAGAGACTGCGTTGATCATCCAGTTGAGCCTCTTCAGTGTTCCATGCACTTCCTAATTGAACAACAAATACCTTTTTGAGAAAATATAAATATCTCAAAAATAAACAACCGTCAGCAATCTAATAAACTCATATATCAGTTTTGGTTTTCTATAGCATATAGTAGTTTTATTTCAGAATTTCATTACTCTCTGTCTTTTTCTTAAAACAAAAATCTTTCTTATTCTTAGGATTATTCAAGAGAAGTACTGCAGGCTTTAATTTCTTGTTGCTGTAGGCTCGCTTAAACCAATTCCTTAGTGAAATCCACTGTATGCTAAAGGAACTCAGAAAGAGGCCAAGAGTTGGATAATGCCTGACACAGTATGCCATAAAATTAATTGGTACTTGTGGATATTCGTGGAAGAGTTTGGATTTTTTTAATCTAAAACAGCATCCCATGCATGAATTTTGAAGTCTTTTAGGCACAATTTTAACGAGCACGCTTACAGCATGTGTATTATTAGAGGAACCTCTAACCTATCTGAAAGACCTCTTGCAATTTGTTTTTATTCATAATCTTTTCTTTAAAACTGTTAATATTACATAAAATACCTGAATAGTTATCAAAGATCTCTTAAGAAGTCAGTTTTGAAAGTCAGATTTGCATTTTCATAAGCTTTAAGTATTAAAAAAACCCCAAAATTAGCCAAAACAAAAAAGTCAATGCTGCTGATGTCCTACTAAATGGTGCATTATCATCCGTACTTCATCCAACCATTGTAGTTATTCCTTCATTCTTTAATGTTTGTAGGAGCAGATTTGTAGATGGTTGTTAGTGGAGTTCTAAATCTGAGTTTCTTCTCACTTAGTTTCCAATATATATTTTTTAGCTAGAAACTTAAAAAAAATCTTCCAGATATTTTCCGTGTTTTATTGTTAATGTGATTCAGTAAATCTGTTTTCTTTGGTCTCCAGAGCTAGTAAAATGAAGTCTTTCCAAGGCCTTGTGTTTCGTAACTACTAAGCATTTTCAAACTGCTTAAATTGTGTATGATGTTTTTATATTTTTTTTATATACATATATATGCAATAGATTGCTGTCCCTCTTTCTGTATGAGCTTTGAGGCCCTTGAAAGCAGTAACCAGTAAAAAATACAATCACTCAATCACTTAATTGACCTAATTTGAATGAGCATTTTGAAGTTGTTTTTGAAATCAACACACTCTAATTACGTTTTTTTACTTCCCTAATCAAACATGTTGCATGCGTGACATTTAAGTGGCATTTTTGTCCGTGGGATAAGTGGGTGGTTTAGATTTTATGAATAACAACTCATTGGGAAGTGTCAAATTGTGTGTTATCTCATATAGTTTATGTATCAGTTATTTACCTACTTGCTGTAGAAGAACATCACTGAATAATATTCAGTGTTTGTCTCTGAATTTCTTACACTATTCAATTCACTATAGCAATTCAACTACTTTGCAGTGTTTTGTGATATTTTAAAGTATTTCATTTTCCACAACAGTATATCCAGTACAATTTGCAAAATTGATTATTCCTAATAGGTAATATTTTTCATTTAATTTTCAAACCTTATTCCCAATAAGTTCACACGAATAATTAGTATATATTTGTTCTCTCTTTCTTTTTGGTAGTTAATTGATAAAATTTTAACACTTCAAAAAATTTAATTTTTTAAACAGCAAATCCCCTATTAGAAGCCTTTGGAAATGCAAAGACTGTTCGCAACAACAACAGTAGTCGTTTTGGGAAATTTGTTGAAATTCACTTCAATGAAAAGGTACTGGAATTTTGTTACAGAAAACCAGTGATGATTTTTTGCCATAAAATGGAAATGCTAGGCTGGCAGTAGGCTGAATAGACTTGTTAATCTTGCAGCAAATAGCTACTGTCCTCCTTTACAGATTTGATTTGTGTTCTGTCACCTGGTCTTAAGCTTGCGGTCTTTTCCTAAGTTTTCATCACTTCGTTTTGTAACTAAACTTCAGATCTTGGGTTAGTAATTTAAACAGTAAATAACTAAATTCCATTAAGGGTAGAGAGACTTTATCTGTTGGTCTAGTTCATGTTAGTGAACTTACGGAAAGGACCCAAGTTTCTACTTGGAATGATGCATTCGTGACCTGTCAATTTATCTGTCAACACTTACATGGTGTTTCAGATTAATTGCTTCAGCTGAAGCAAATAGCTCTCAGAGTATCTTCAGAAGCTGCTTAAAAGCCTGTTTCAGCCTTCCACTGCAAGATCAGCCTGTTTAATGAGCCCCTTTTTCACAAGACTTCACTTCATGGTGACCTTATTAGGTCTGGTTTCTCAAAGCAATTTAAGTCCAGACTGAGGCCTCCTGACTGAATGGATGACTGCATAACCATAGTCTAATTTGTGAGTCAGTAAGTCCTTCTTAGTTGCTGCAGTGGCCGTAAGCTCAGGAATTTCCGTGCTGTTAAGGCACAGGGAATTTTATCTGTCTGTATGGCAGATATGTATGTCTAGGCACAGGGAATTTTATCGTAGGCTGGATAACAAATGGCTTTCAATATCTGTCAGGCTTCCATCTCAGAAAAGCAGTGCGAGTACTTCAAATAAAACGTTCGCTCATAATTAGTCTGCCTAAGATTTTGTCCAAATATATATTCTTTAACTTTAACCCTTCCTTCTCCATTGCAAGAGTCTCAGTGAAATGCATCTAGAGAAGGTTGTAACAGCATGGTAATGGCACTTACTGCCATTCAAAAGGCGTAAAGGTGGCTGTAGCAATGCTCTTTGCAGCAACTACTGGAATTCTACCAAGGATTTCTGCTTGTTGAGGTGAAGCAGACCCTTCTTTTAAAAGGAATGTATGTCCATGCAATATGTGAACTGAGGGGAGAAGTTATGGTGAAGGCAATGGTTTCTTTTCTAAGATTAATGTATATTAGGTATAGATATATTTTAATCTTCAATAGAGCAGTGTCCATTGAGCGAGACACGATCGGACAAATGTAAACTGAAAACTTCTGAATCTCTCATAATCCAAAAAATAATCAGAAAAATATTTCTTCCTCCTAGAACTCCGTGGTTGGTGGATTTGTATCACATTACCTTCTGGAGAAATCTAGGATCTGTGTGCAAGGCAAAGAAGAGAGGAATTATCATAT